CATCAGGTGACTCACACATCAACCTGCCCTTCACCAACTGCACTGTTTCATTAAGTGAAGTGCCCGACTCAAAGCTTGCTATTTCTCACCATTTCAATCTGGGATTATACACAAATCCTCATCCCTCAGAGCCAGGAAGCATGTGGATGAGGCAGGGAGTTTCAGAGATACAGAGCCTGGAAATGTTCGTTGTCTCCCAACTACTGTGCTTTCCTTATCTAGTCTTCAGAGAAATAGAGGGGGAAAGACAGCCCAATCCTACTTCTAATCATTACTACATCTGCCACTTTCTTTAACCTCTTAGCATTAGGAGCACAAATGCCAACTGGAATCTATTATCGGGGTGAAAACTCAATGGCAGGAGACCAAACCAGGTACCTCTCAAGAAAGTCTAGAAATAGTGTTATTGAAATCTAGTTGTCTCCCATGTACTGGTTCCCTCTCCCACATCTTGACATCTAGCAAAGTGGGCACTGAAAAAGCAAAACTCACTCTAATGTCTATTGAAATAGCTACAGTGAAGAAAGAAAAGGATGTCTAATTTGTCCTTCCAATCAGATCTTCCAGGTCAAATGCCTAACCGTTCATGCTTCCCCTCCCAGCAGACCCACTGCAGCTTCTCTTCAGGGTAGTGGGGACGACCAGAGGACTAACGTACCAACTTTCTTTTTTAGCTGGTTTGTTTGATAGTTTGTGAGGAAACTGATGATTCCTTTTGTCTTTAATTCCACCTCTTAGCACATGTTCCTTTAAATCTGTGTTTTGATTAAACCACTCCATCTGTGTACTCCAAATGCAGGAGAGCCTCAACTTTCAAGGATCTGAAGGAAGTGCATCCTGATGACCATACACAATGCAATTTTAATGTGTGTGTGTGTGTGTGTGTGTGTGTGTGTTTGGTGAAAGAATTCCTTTCTGGGGAGAGGAGCAGGGTGGAGATCCAATTAGGATATGCAAACCAAATAAAAGGAAAAGAATTCCTTTCTGGGGAGAGGAGCAGGGAGGAGATCCAATTAGGATATGCAAACCAAATAAAAGGACTGCATGTAAAGTATGGGCTGAATTTTCAGTCACTTGTGCTAGATGTCTTCAGAATCAGTACTCTGCACAAATCACAACAGCTGAACTGCAGCCAGGTTGGGTGAGATTCTGGAATGATTTAATTGAGTCAAACAAACTCAGCAGCACAGAAAAAATTCACCTTCTCCAAAGTAAACCTTGAAAGATGCGGAGATGTAATGTGAAGACTACAAAGCCTGTACTTAAGCCTGGGCTTTAGAGATCAGAAATGAAAGGAGGAAAAATTAGATGCAGTCGTCAAATCCTGATCTTTGCCGCAAAGATCTGGTGTCACTACAGCTAACAGGGTCTAGCCCCGTTCACTTACTTTGCAAACTCAGAAGCTCAAAGAGGAGAAAAAGCATGTTTTAGATACTATGCGGACTGGTTCAGTGCCACAGCTCCCTGTGAAGAGCTGCCGTTAAAGGTACCTGCCTGTGCTGATAAGATTGCTGTCGCCATACTACAGTAGATACACCATTTTGTTTTCTCCTCTCTGAAGACCTACTCCTCGCTTTTCCCAGGGTTTAAAAATCATGTTAACAATAAGCAAATACAGCATGGCCAGATGCCTTTCGTGGTCAGATGGTTCATTGTTTAAAAAGCTTCAGTTTAAAATCCAAAAGATTGTTAACAGATGCAGTTTCTGGCTGGAGACTGGGAAAAACCTCACTTAAACAAAAGAGTATGTTGTGATTGGAAGTAAAAAGGGAATTACCTTTAAAGATAAGAACCACAAACATTTCCTATTTGAAAATACACCCCTCCCCCCATCAAGCCCCACCAACAGGACCTTTCTGGGGATCTTTCATGAAAGTTAAAGAATGTGACCGTGGATGGCTGCGTATGACAAACCATGGCTGATCAACCAGTCCAGTTGTTCCTACAGATCTGTTTGGACTTTCAACAAGGCCACAACATCCATCTCTTGCTCTCCCCCGGATTACTCAATTAGGCAAAATTCCAATTAGTTTCTTTCCAATTCTTTTAGACCCAGAAATACTTTTGCTGCTTTCATTTTGGCTCTGGAAATAGGTTTTTCAACCAGAGACTTAGATAGAGAAGTTTGAGAAATGAACACAGAGCTTGATAAGCAGATAGCCACTGCTGGGACTCTAGTCACTCTTGGATGGAAAAGAGCCACTTGGCTGGGAAAGATCTGGCCTCCTCTTCAGTTCCCAGTCCTGTGCACTTTTAAACAGAAAGCCTGCCTTTCACCAACTCCAGTGTCTGTTTCTGTTGGCTTTTGTGGGCCTTTAACCAGTGGCCTCACTATGTGTGAGAAGGTCTGTAATGCCCTGGGTTCTAATCTTGAAAGATGGGAAATGTGAAGGAGCCAAGGGTGGATTGCTTTCCCTTAGCCTTTGGTTTGGCTTGCTAGTGACAAGCCTGATTTGAAAAGGCTACATGAGATGGTTCAAGGAAAATAATCCATCCTCCATATTAAGGATGGCCAACACGGCTCCATTCTGAGATGGCCAACCTGTCCTTCAGGAGGGCACATTCTCGAAAGAGAGGTAAACATCGTGCCATTCTGTGCTCAGGTGCTTGTGTTCTCTCACTCACTGTGTTATTTCCTGATCTATTAAGAGCTCAAAAAGGCCCATTTTAGACCAAAGGCATAGTCTAGTTTCGCAGTGTGAGAAGCTCTAATCAACTTCTTTAGTCAAGCACTGCTACTATCCATTGTAAAGTGAGGCAGATCTGTATGCCCACGGGACTCACTCCCCAAAGAGTTAAAATGCCTTTCCCCCTCTGAGGCGCCACTACTAAGTCACATAAGAAATCCAAGCTGCTGGGATGAAGCTCGCAGAACTGTATTCTCAAAGATCTGTGCAATGTGGCCAGGTACGCGCAGGAGGGGGCCATCCATCCATCAAGAGTAGGATTTTGAGCCAGTGGCCACATCCATATCCGTACTGCAAAACCCCCTGGAAATTGAAAAATGAGCAGCAGCTGTGAGCCCGAGGTCATTACTATTCTCTAGGGTTTGCCTTTTCTAATCTAAGGGGCAGTAGTTTCCATGATTAACTTTCAATTGCTGTCAAGGGTGTAATAAAATCTGGGAAAGAAGAAAACTTTTCCCTCGGTGAACTGCTCCCATTTGCCTGCCCTTTCCTTTCCTCCAGTGCATATTTCAATCCCAGCTTCATATTGCTTCCTAATTTTGAGAAAAAAACCTGCTTTCGGATGAGCCAAAATAGACAATGTCCTCTGTGTACACAGGCACTTGAGGACTTTTTGTTCTCAGTTCCAGGGGCCAGGTCTTTAAGACAGCTGTGTGAAAAGTTCCCTTTTCCAAAGACCTCACTATACATCACTTGCAGAACTGAGCACATTATATTTCATTTTAAAATTCTCTCCGTGTTTTATTTGCTTCCTGAGTCATGACAATCAGTTCAACAGAAGAGAACTTTTCTAGTTGGTAAGATGTGTACAAAGAGGAAGAGGAGAAGGGGACAGATTCATTCACAAACACAGCTTCCTGGTTATGACTGAACGGGAACCCTTAAGGCTGCGCTTGGTCTGATCTGATAGTGGCTTGAGGTTCACACAGAGAAGTTATAGCTGGACATGTCTCTCAGCAAGGGCCCCGAACCAAACCCCACACATAGTATAACTGCTCAGGTGGAGAGTTGAATGTGCTTCAAAATGTTGACAGTTCAGTTTAACGTAATGATAACTTGTGGTTCACTCATCAGTGGTACATTCATTTCAAAGTATCAGAAGCTGGATTATGGAGACGAGTAAAACATGGTACCAAAACATCAAGTCTGGTTGGAGAGGGGCACCGGCAGGCTCATGCAGGAGAAGGGCTCTGGGGGGTGGCATGCCAGTTACATAGGCAGCAAAGAGGAGCCCGGTGCTAAGAGACAGCACGTGGGCAAAGGGAGGCCCCAATCATACAAGTCACCTGAGAAAAGGCTTCCCTGACTGATACCATGTCTTGAAAAGACACTGGATTGTTGCCGTTTGCTCTTATTTCCCTGGGACAACAGTGAGTAATCAGCGTGCCCACTGCCTGTTAGAAGTAACATTTCTCCTGGGTGCTGTCCCTGCCCTTCCTCTTACCCCAGCTTGATTCAAGTCTCTGTTGGAACAGAAGGGAAAGTGGCTAAAGATGGCCATGAGCAGGTTCCAAAAATGGAATGGGAATATCTAAGAATCTTCCAGCGTTTAAAGGACGGCAGACTGAACTTTACTGCAGGATCTCCCGTCCTCAGGGCGATGCCTACGCCATGGATGCTAGGAAATAAGAGCTTTAGGGGTTTTGCTGCCAATATCCATTCTCCGCTTCTGTGAAGGTAAGAGATCCCCCAGCTCTTAAGTGGGAGTGACCACCCAGAATAAAGACTGTGTTCCTTGCAGTGAGGTGTGGCCATCTGCTAACAGTGGAAGGTGAGGGGAGTTGGAGTGCATAACTCCAGGGCATGTCCCTAAGAGCGTAGGGGGAAGGTTTTCCTTCTTCCCCTTTCCTCCAGCCTTAGTTAGGAATGTGAAATGGCTGGAGAGCCATCACGAGGACAAGGCCTTAGAGATGGTGAAATGAAAAGCTGTTAGAAGGTGGTCACAGAGGATGTGACCCCACAATACTAGCCCTAACCTACCTATACCAGTACATAAACTTTTACATAAAGAGTGGGGGGAGGGGGGGACACTTTGTCGTGTCAGCCAATGTTATTTTGGGTCTCAGTTGTACAGGATTGTGAATTAACGGTACAGGTACAAGGTAGGGAAGTGGTGTCCAGTGAAACGCTGATAAAAACAACATCCAAGGAGTTGTCCCTTTGCTGAAGGTAGCACCAAGGCCACAGCAGAACATGGTCATTCTGGTTTGCACATTATAAACAGCTGTTTGAACTCTGGTGGTGACACGGGAGAGCAAAGGGAATTAAAAATGATAATTTTCCAGTTAACCATATATTCAAGGTATATCTTACCTTTTTCTTGCTACAGTATATTTGCCATTTTTTCTCAGCTGGAAGTGCAAACATGGCCTCCCTGTGTTTGTCTGTGAGGTCAAGTTCATCCTGAGAAGAAAAATAACAATTACTATTTCAGAAATAATTTGTTATCCGTACGAGGAAGTTATCAGCATCACCAGGGAGAGAGAGAAAAAAAACACACAACATCAACACACATTTAAATGAACTCAGAAAAGACCAGGAACCTAAGTTAAGGTGCATGTTACCACTATCAAGAAAGCAATCCTGGCACGGAGCTTGGCACCAAGCACAGCACGAGGGATGAGGCACTGCATTTACTGAAGGGTACGGGGAAGTGGGCAGAAGATGGACTGGAGTATCCTGAGCCACATGCACTGCTGCAGAGAGTCCATTGATCAGTAAAGGCAACAGGCGCTAGAGTTTGGAAGGATTAATTGTATTACAGATCAGGGTTTGCTAGGGATGGCTCCATAAACAGAGTATCAGGCTGGGCCCTGAAGGATTTGGACGTGATAAGAGGAGAGAAAGAACAGAATCAGAGGCGGGGGTGGGGTCACACACTTGGTGTGTTTGGGGGACACACACCAGCTTGGCTGAAGCACTGGGATTATGCAAAGCATCATCACATAACAGCTCTGAGAGGTAGAGAAACCAGTTTGTGGAAAGTCTTAAATGCCAGGCTAAGGAGTTAATTGTCCTGGCCAAGGAAAGCCGATGAAGGGATGAAGGTTCCGAGCAAGGGAGGGACATCTTCATCACCATAAATTCCACTGACATTTATTCAGTACCTTCCATGCCAAGCATGGTGCAGGCATTTTCTCATTTAGTCTCAGAGCAACCCTAAGAGTTCCACTCATTATCACATCCTCATTGTAATAATAATCCCTGTTCAATACAGTCAAGAGAACTTGAGGCAGAAGACTGGGTAAGTAATTTGCTCAAGACCACACACCTGGTAAAGGAATGGCTGGGTTTTCAGCCCAGAGCTGTCTAACTCCAGAGCCCAGACTCTTGGCCTCTCAGACCAGTGTCTGGAAACATTAACTTTACAGTGGTGTGCAGCTTAGATTGGACACTGAGGAAAGGCAATTTATAAACATCCATAACTAATGAATAACAACAATGGGATAATGAATATAAAGTGCTTAGAGGAAAGTTCTTGGCATTTGATAACTCAATCCGTGGTCGGTATTGAGCATTTGGCCCATTGTTATTCTACTGGGAGTTATCTAGTTGAGCATGGCAGATTGGTGGGCCTAAGCCTTATAAAAAGATGCTATAAATTAATGCACAATTAGGCTTAGATCCTTGAGGAGTATAAACAGTCCCCATTCTGAATGCCTTTGGTGTATATCGGCAATTCTGCGACGCATGAACACTGACTTCCTATTTCATACTCGCACCCCATTTCATCATCAAGTCCTATTATTTCTTCCTTGAAAAGTCTCATGATTTTCCTTTTTTTCATTTCCAATGAAACCACCCAAATTTATGCTCTAATAACCCCTCCCTCGGCTTTTGGCAATAGCCTCCACATGTTCCTCCTTGCCCTGCACTCCTTCCCACAGCAAGGCTAGAACTCATCAAGAAATGAATTCTCAAACTTGAGCCAGCACCAGCATCACCCAGAGGACTCCTTGCATCACTGATCGCCCAGTGTTTAGGACTGAGCAGGTGGGAGGAAGTATAACAATTTCCATTTCTAGTAAGTTTCCAAGTGTTGCCGCTGCTGCTAGTCTGGGGACCACACTTTAAAACCACCACCTTAAAAACAGAGCACCTGTGCTGTTTTGAGCTCCTGATTCAAAAACTTCGTTCGCTCCACATTACCTACAAAATGAACCATGCATTCCTCAGCTGGCCCTGACCGTCTTCCATGTATAACCCCATGTACAGTGGGGCCTTGACTTATGAGTTTAATTCGTTCTGTGACGGAGCTCGTTGAGGAGCTCGTTAACTCAAATTACTCTGTCAACTCAAAGCAAAAAGTCGGCTGAGAGATGGCTGGTATCTCGGAAAAACTCGTTAGTCGGGACACTCGTAAGTCAAGGCCCCACTGTACTTTGCCAGGCTTGCTTCTGGTTATCCCCTGATGCTCTGTCTTGTTAACACCCATACGTACTGCCAGGGCCTAGCCACTCAGGGCCTGATACATGCCCACTTCCCAGGGAAGTTCTTAATCTTATTAAACTTCTACTTCCTCATCTACAGGGTGGGCATATCATTTCTCTTACAGGGCTTTTGTGAGGATAAGAAACACCAATTAAGCATGTAGCAATGCCTGACAAGGGGGGGTGGGTGGCAGTGGGGGCAACTATACTGTTGTTATTTCTTTCAACATTTAAACACATCTTCTTTAACAAGGTAAACAGCCCTGGCTGATGTGGTTCAGTTGGTTGGAGCATCATCTCATACACCAAAAGGTAGCAGGTTCCATTCCTGGTCAGGGCACATACCCAGGTTGCTGGTTCCATCCCCCGTGGGTGTGCGTGGGTGGGGGGGGGGGGGGAGGGTGGGGGGTGATATATGTTTCTCTCTCTCTCCTCCCCCACCTCTCTCTGTTCATTTCTCTCGAATCAATAATACTAACAAAAAAAAGGTAACAGTTGAGTCACTAAAACACACCCACATGCTATTATATACTAACTATAAAAAAGCTAGTTAAGAATTTCAACAATGAACAACGAGGGAAAGAACAATATTTAGAGAAAGTTCCACTATGAGGGAACATGCTAAAAATGTTATAATTTTGGCATGCAACTATTATATATGTGAAGTAATTATTTTTCTTCCTTCCTTTCTTTTTTAATTTCCTGTAAGTCACACACCTGCTTTCATCTATTGATGAATGAGGAAAATAATGGTGACATAAATCACTTCCCAACAATTAGGATTACTTGGGGGGAAGGGGGTCAGGTTAGTTATTCTAACAGCTTGATAATCTCGTGCCTAGTTTGGGGAAAGGTTTGTGATTTGTAAGAGAGCGAACAGTGTTATTAATGTTACATCCTTTACTACACTAAGGCACTGTGTTTTTGCTAACTGAGCTGAGGTGCAAAGAAATGTGAATCCTAAAATCTAAATATTCAGAGCAAAGACTATTAATAGTACCACATTTTGCTCTTATAGGTAGAAAACTTCTGCTTCTGCTGTGACACCGAAATGACCAATTTAGAATTGAGAGAGCACAATTGAACAAGGACTTAGGAGCAGATGGTTTCATGCAAGAAGTGAATTTTCATAAAATAAATTAAAAATTGCTATAGGGTCTCTGGATATAATTTTAGATTACAGTAAAAAAAATGGAAGGAATTAATGGATACTGGTAATAGTAACGACTAGCAATTAGTGAGCACATTCTGTGTACTTAGTATTAGAATTTTATATGAATTAATTTAGTTTATCCTCACAGCAATCCTATTAAGTGGGTAATATTACCTCATTTTCCAGGAAGCTGAATTCAGAGAGATTAAGTAGCTTGCTCAAGGTAACAAAGGTGGAGGAGGAACTTGAGTCGACTGTCTGGTTACAGAGCCCACATTCTTAAGCACCAGAACTTGTTCATTCTATCAATCATTCAACAGGTAGGCAGAATCACAACGCTGATGCAAATATGAAAATGCATGCTGTCTGTTAGCAGAAGGAGGAGGATTTTGTTGTCAGACATCCCTGAGTTCCAGGTCTGGCTCTATGGGTTGTGCAACCTTGAACAAGTGAATTAACCTCTGAACTTCAATTTCTTCTCCTGAAAAATTAGTGATAGTATATGTCTGACAGTTATCTCAAGGATTCATTCATGCAACCAAAAAAGTGTTTCTACTAAATGTCAGGCATTGTGCTAGGTATAGAGGACAAAATGGTATCACAGAGCTCAGATTCTTGAGCAGGCAGAAGGGAAATCAAATATCACATGATGATCACAGCTGAGCTTCAAGGGCCCACTTATTTGGGGGAAAGGTGGGGCAATGAAGGTTGTTCCAGGGAAGGAAAGTGAGAGCTAGCTGAGAGATGGCTAGGAATTAATAGGTTAAAAAAAAAGCACTGCAGACAGTGAACAGCAGCAGCCTTGAGGGCCACTATGAACTTTTGCTCTTTATCTTAAGAGCACTCAGGCCATTGGCAGATTCTGAGCAAGGAAAGTGACACAGATTAAATTAGACAATAAGTGGGGGTGCCTAGGCACAATGCCCAGGATGCAATAAGACCCCCACCCCTCCATTCCAAAACTTTCTGTGCTCTGACTCATTCTATTTTAGTAATATGGCTGAATCAAGCATGCAAGACTCAGACATTATCACAGCCCTAGAGATCAATCAGCACTTACTCGCTGACCATGGCCAGACATTATAAAGAATACAAAAATGAACAACAGACCCTGATTTTATGGAATTTAGAATCTAGTTAGGAAGACAAGATGACAGAAGGCTTCAACAGGTCCCTTTCTTTTCAGGATAAAGTCCAAATTCCTTAGCTGATAGGTGTAGACCCTTCATGATATGGCCTTTGCCAACCTGCCCCACCTCACCTCATCTTCCTCCAACAGCACCACATTTTAGGATTTTTGATCACATGCCCACTTGTTTTGAGGACTGGCAGTCGATAAATGCAAAGATAAACAAAACAAATTTAGTTTCTGCCACTACACATTAGACTTGTATGGCCTAGCTCCATTCATTGGCCATAGAATTTTTTTTCATGTTATTAGATATTTTTTAAAGTTGGCTGAAGGAAAATGACTTAGCGAGTGATGAAAGGAGAAACACTTTTGCCAAGTATCATTCCTCTCTACAGAAAGTTCAAGTTTCTGAAAAACCAACCAACAAAACCCTTCTTCTTGGAGAAGAGATTAATTACATTTGTCATATCTCTATAAAATTATTTGTAATATCTTAGAGGAAAGGTATTAATTATATATAAATATATATGTTATTAAAAAGAAAGGAACTTGAAGAGAAGCCCAGCTGTGGGAACTAAAGTCCTAGGCTTCATCCCTAACAAAGCACATTATTAAGCCCTACCTAAAAGCTTCCGAAAAGCTTCGGGACAAAGAAATCTCACTAGTCCTATACCCTGGAGTAAGCAGG